GCGTGGTACTGCAAAGAAACAGTGAAGCATTAGGGCGAACGGTAGTAAATAAAGAAAGGAAAAAAAGAGTAAGAAGAAAAAAGAAGCAAGACAGAAACAAAGAGATACACGAATAAAGAAATCTCACGGGGGACAAATTTTTGCCTGGAGCTCTTTGACCCTCCACCTCCCCCTGGCTCCTGCTCCAACCTTCACACTCCACTCTTTTTTTATTCTTCCTCGTCATGTCGTCTCAGGAGTTGTCGACCCTGTACTTGACTTAACTTCTACTAGCGTTTCCTCGTTCTTCTCGTGTCTTGTCTTCCTACTTCATTATCGGTCTTGGGTTATCAAACTTTTTCCCCGAGATCCACATCGGCCGAAGTTTCACGTGGAAACAAAAAAAGAGTCCTTCATCGCGCGGAGTCTCCTTCCCTGGAATGATTTCGAAGGGGGTGTTAAGAGATTAGGAGAAAGAGAGAGAGAGGGGGGGGGGGAGAGGGGTTAAGAGTGAAGTCACGTGACAGACCAGATACAAAAGAACAAGAGAGGGCGATGGAGTACAAAGGAAGTAGAAGGAATAGAAAAAAAAAAAGACAGGTGCAAGATGAAGAGAGGCAGAGGTTGGCAGAGTAAGAAAAAAAAGAGGTAAAAGAAAAGATAATGGGGGTAGGAGGGTTGAGAGATGAAAGAAAAAAAAAGAATTGATGAGCAACAACCGTAATCGACGAGGACGAGGCCCCCGCCAGCCATTTTGAGTGGTCCGTTCGTTGTTACTCCGACGATTCCAGCCGATCGTTCATTGTTTCTCGATGTCATCCCGATGTAAGCCGGGCTTCCCCGGATGATAATGACCCCCCCGCCCCGCCCAAGAAGACAAACGAGCGGGAGCTTCCGGCGTTCGAGGAACTTCCTAGGATTAATTAAGCCTGGTCGCAAGTCGTCAAAGAAATACCTGAACGCTTTTATTTCTCCTTCGTCGCCTCCGTTGACCTCTTGTCACATTTCCATCTTCCTTCTCACCGCAATCGACCGATACTTCGTTCACACGTATATTCCCAGACTGATTTCATCTCCTCGTTAACGTCATTCTTCGCATCCGCCATTACAAGCAAATTACGTGAGCAGTCGTTAACGCGATACGTATGACATTACGGAGCTTGGCCCGTGTGTCTGATAACGAGCGACAGGTGGCGCCGCGCGGCGGATTTTTTCCGCGACTACTTGAACATCTTGTCGTTCTGACGCGCCACGTAACGAGAGGCCATTACGGTGTACCGTTATAGAGGGGAAAGAAAGAAAAAAAAAAAGAGAAAAATCTGAATAAAATGTAAATCGCCATACGCTGCGAGAAATGCGGTTAACTGATAGAGGATTCTTATTATTATTATCACCGATCCACCGAAAGACACGAATAAAGTCCAATCGCCGTCATTGATTATATATATAATATGTATTATTATATATACGCTAATGTTGTATCTAGAACGTAAGGGCTTGCTCATTGAAACGCAGCTGCCTTTGGTTTTGCTATTGATTATAAATGGCAGTTGTTCGTTAAATTCTTTAATTGTCAACGATCACGTTCATTTGACAATTGTTCACGTCCCATTAAAGCTTTAGTGAATATGTCAACCGAATGCAGCTGGGTTGGGGATCAAAACGATCGTGTTTACAATCTGCGACCCGTGCGCGAATCGACTTATGCACTTACGCGATGATTAAATGTTTTTGTTAATTACCAAAAACTATGCTGAATTTTGGAAAGTTAATCTCACAGAAGCAGCCGATACTCGTTGGTGCGATTTGTGAATGATTCTTGGTTTTTCTTGTTAATTAAAATTATTTTTCTTTATTGTCGTCCATTTTCATATGAGCGACGTTACACAAGCTCCGTGGGGCACTGGTCGCGATTGCAGCGACAACATTTTTTGGATATTTAACTCGAGATTTTTTATTCCTCTCGAAAAGTATACTGAAAGTGCATAATCAGAAAGAACCGATCGAACCAAAGTGTGCATCTGCATGAATAAAAGAGTGAGAGAGTGATTTATTATTAAAAAAAAGATGAAAGCTGGTGGAAAAAAGAATGCAGGAGAGGGAGAGAGAGAGAGAGAGAGAGAGAGAGAGAGACAGAGAGCGTGTTTAAAAATAAAACAAAAGTAATGACGTAAGTGGACGGCTTCGATCGGCGCTTTCATATCCCGATTTATCTAGATAATTAATATCAAACTATACAGTAAAGCAAAAATTATCTAGATGATGATTAATTAGGAAAGAGAGAGAAACACGTGTTACCGCGTGAGCGCATACGCGTAAATATATACGATTTTACGTAAAGCGCGGGCACTTGTGCGCATGCGCACAAGCGTACTAGTGCGCGCGCCTTGCGTAAACGAAAAACGAACAAACTCAAAAAAAAGTATTATATTATATAAATATTACACACACAAAATACACACACACACATACACACACACATATATATATATATATATATATACAAATAAGAGAACTAATTATCTGTTGGTACATATCGTATTTAAATGAGAGTCGTAATAAAAATGACCGACGCTTTGAAAATCCAAAATTCTTAGGCGCATGCGCACGAGTACGAGATTAAGTGAAAATAGAATCGAAAAATGTGGAAAGTTTAAGATAAAAGTGACTGCAGAAGAGAAAAGAAATGAAGAATAAACGTAAATGGACTGCTGGCATCGGAGGAGTGGGAGTGGCGGTGACGATTTAACGCAATTTACCACGTGTAGGCGGCGTAAAACACAAGTACACTGCGAGAAGAACACACACCTACTCACATACACACAACGAATGTAATAATAATAATAACAATAATAATAAAGACAAGAAATTTTTTCGTTTTCTACAAACAGCGACTGTTTATTTATTATGTCTATATACAGACCTCCGATATCGATGCTCACAATTTCATTATAAAATGTGCGTACCTTGTTACCCCCATCACCGACTGAAAGAACCAATTCCTCCCACGTCGAGAGCAATTTCAAACTTTATTTTTTCCTTCGCCCCCTCGACGATAGTATGGAATTTCAATTTGCGTCTGCCACTTACATCCTCTTGCCACAGGCCCCTTTTTTCGGTATCTTTTTGGTTTCCCTTCCCTAGTCGAGTCTTATTTTTTCGCTTTCATATATGTTACTGGATACCGTAATACCTATTCGCGTGAATTTAACATTTTTCTCTTTAACGGCAATTCCTATTTTGGTTCTCGTTTTTATTTCACGAATTAACCTACTTCAAGCCAAATGATACATATACATATATACTGCTCCAGCTGGTTTCCACTTTTTCACTGGACCAATGGCAAAGCTTCGTTATCACGTTAATTCCCCTTCGATGTACGAAATACTTTTTCATTATTTCATGCGTGCACATTCGCGCTACAGCTTGGTTGGATGAAAATTGTTTTTCCAAATTCTAATAACGAACCCTCGAGCGTAACGACACATGAGAGCTTTTCAGATCGGTGAAAAATATAGGGCGAGGAAAAAAAAGAAGATAAATGGAAAACAAACAAATATCACTAGGGCGAAAGGCAAACCATGTTTCTCGTTATTCACCAAATTGTACTTCAACGAAGGGATAACGGCTGTCGAATACTTTTGGCGATATGTTTTATCTGAAAAATCATATACCTATGGGTAAGTACGAAAGCGGGCGTACGGTTAATAAATTGCAAACTCCAGCGAAGCGAGAACCTCTCTGCGAAAACAATGGCCCGAATCCCACCAGGTTGTTCGTGGCTTGTCGTGAGACGTAAGTAAAAAGGTTGAAAAGGTAAAAAGGAAAAGCAAAAAAAAAATCTGAGAACTCAGCAGTTCCCACGAGGTACAGGTATGTGTATATATATATATGACTCGAGGTGGAGTGGTTTACGGATCACCAATTCCACAAGGTAGCCTCAGGAACTTGAAAAGGTACTAGATGGTTAGGGTTAGGATAGGCTACCTAGTCCATCTATACTTCTATGGAATACATTTGCGGTAGAAAGTTCCTGAGTTCCACCCTACTGTGCTAAGTACCGGAACGGCTCGTTAGGCCGAAGCGTTGGAAACGATATGAAAGTTGGCTGCTTCCGCTTTTCTCCAACCGGAGAGTTTCTACCCGGTAAAGAGCTTGAAACTGGTTGTGGTATAGGAATCAGCGAAGGAGTTCGTGTAACTAAGGGCTTTAAACAATACAGTGTAGATGCTCGAAATGAGAGTCGATCATTGATAACTTTGATCAGTATGGATCTCTATTTTTTTCAAGTCATAACGATGGCTTTTTGCCGTTTTTCGGACATAACTGAAACTTATGATAGATAATGTATAGAATACATATTGAATTTTTGTTCATTATAAAAACTTACAATTGGTTAGTTAGGGCCATGCAGTTGCCACTCGACTGATGAAGCTCAAATTTAGGAATCCCTGAAAAATTTGTCAGTATGTTAAAGATTAGCGTAATAGGGTGGGTGGTCAAAGATGGTAAAAAGATAGCAATGTAAAAAAAAAATTGTGGCTAATACTTATATTTTTAATCAGCACTCCGGCAGTCCTGTATGTGGTGCACTTTGTTCCTCAGTTCAGAGAAATAATTAATTCCTTGATGAAAGACGGCGTAAAAGTAAATTCCTCGTAATTTCTGGCATAGGACAGTTGGTACAGCATGGCTACTTCAAGCCTGCATTTGCTAGTCTTTCTTTTTACCGACCTCTTTCACTTACTGTACTCAGTACCTCAGTGCTGCCACCACAAGCGTGCAAATTCAACGTCACTCTAAGAGCCACATCATGAAAGCACAAATTACTCTTGATGTTTTCATTTCAACTATTCTTTTAATACATTGCCTAACTATTCATTTTCTTCGTCTCACTCTTTCCTACAAATCTCATATGAGAGTCAAGAAAATCTTATTACATCCAAAAACTTTCATGATAGGATGCATCACGGTTGTAAATTAACCATAAGGTTAAAATTCAAAAGGTCAGCTAATGAGATACTGAGTTAAATTTATTTGTGAGGTCAGCTGTACATACAACGAATGCCTCGATTAATTTAGCTGAAACAACGTAAAGGACCTGGAGATTTGAGTATATTCGCCAAAAATATTAAGAACTTTATTTACAAATATCTCAGCTGCTAACGACAGGATCGTAAGTTTTCGTCGTCACGACCCTTGAGACGCACATGAATACAGTCCATGAGTTTTGCCTCCTAGTGGATGTGATTCATCCCTTCGCTTCAACGGTGTTCTAACAGGACACACTGGTTCTCTTATTCCAAGGTGAAACTCCCGCTATATTCCAGTCATCCCACGTGTCCGGCATCCTGTACGACGTGCCCGACAGTCGTCCTATACCGGCAGTGTCATTTCTACACTCTCAGCTAACTTGTAATTCCCACCATATTCCAAGAGTCCATTACGAGAATTACTCTAGCTATGCTTTAGGTAAGTACCTTACAGTTCTCAGAAGGCAGTGCCAAGAAAATCATTGCTACGATAACTCCAATAACTTTCTATAGCAGGTAATGCCTTTGGCTGTCGTTTCCTTGCAGAAAGTTAACTTCACTTCGTACCTCTACTTCTGCTTCTTTGACACTTTCAGGTACATCCAGTTTATACATCTTACGTTTTATACTTTAGATCACTTTATTAATTTCACTCACTACACTCGTCGCAAGCTACATACTATAAATTTTCTTTCGTCGAGCGTTTTTCGAACGCTACACAGCCATGCCATTGCGTTACGTTTTTCTCATGGCATCCGCCTTGTTTAGGTCGGCCATATTGGCGTCACGTGATCGCACTGCGCACGCGCATAGCTTTTTTCGCGCTTTTTCCGAATACATCCTGCGAGTACCTACTACGTTTTCATAATTGCTTCCTGCTGGTAATACTTTCATTTCCTCCACTTACGCTCGACTGCCAATGTATTTTCCTCCCTTAGTTTTCTCACTGACTATCTATCTATCTCTCTCTTCTTTTTGCTCATACGACTTATTTTTCTTCTCCATTCGGTTTCTTTCGCGTTTTTTCCCTCCCTTTTATTTTAATCCCTTAACTCTTGAATTCTACTAGACTCAAAACCATCATCTCTTCTCGACCTGGACAAAAAATTCCTACACAGTCCAGACCTCTATTTTAATCTAACTTGTTATTTTTATTACGAATACCAGAATCCTTTGGCTGTCTTATGAACACATCTAATAACGATACAGTCGGTTGACTGTATCTCGAATATCAGTGTCACTCCTGCTTCTTTTGTATCCATTCGAATTCACCAGATTCTTTACCCACTGAAGAGGTTCTTTCAGATCGAATCAAGACAACTCGTACTTTCTTTTCACCAGCAGATAATTGCTGTAATCCTTTTCGTCCTTGGCTTCTTTATTTTTTGTTTCGTTAAACCCATCACTATCTACTTTCTCTCGTCGTTCTTGGATACTCTTTTCATTCAACGGAATGCTCGGGATTTCCATTGAGTGGGAATGCAATCGAAAAATTCAAGAAAACTGTAGAACTTAGAGTTAAGAGAATGACAAAAAATACACTTTGTCCAGAATCGATTACCAATAAAAATTCTTAGCAAAGAACCATTACTATAATTTGCCATAGATTTATTTTGCTACAAAGACAAGTACTGTGTAGCATTCTTAAAGGAAATTAATTTCACAGAATTATAATTATTAATAAGTTGTCTGATATGACTATCGACACAATTTAGGTTATAGAAAATAATCTCACCTACATGAAGGACTTATTCTTCTGTATATGGTAAGTACTAAGATAGATAATAATCTTAAATATTTTATTTCTATCTAACAAACTTTTAGTTATAGTAATCTGCAACGATAATCTATAAAAGCTCATATAACAGATAGACTCAGACTCAGATAAAAAATTTCGATTCATTGTCATCCGCATAAAAGGAGTTCAAATACGATGTCTCCATCTAATTTCATATTACGAAGTACAAAGGATTTAAACCCAAGGTATTCCACGTGTTAGTATGAGTATCTAAGTCCTGAAGAAATACCAATTTTAAAAATGGGATAAAAGCGAAAAAGCAGATAGACGACTTCCCGTGACCAAGTTACAAGAAATTTGTCGATATTAGAAGCTATAAAAATACGTAAAATCTCAAAACGGACTAGATAAGAAATCCTAAGACATGTATCCATAGAACTCTGCGAATTTTTTACAAATTCTTTAACCGTTCTTGCTTAATAAACGGCAAATTTTGTGCCGACAGTGGCGCCGCGTAGTGGTCATTTCATTCGACAGTCTGTCAGAGCCCGTATCACATTTTATTTCTGCATGCATTTTATTCAGCGCTGTCTATATCGTAATCCCACAGTGATGACTCTTCATACGTGTACGATTCGCCAGATGCGCATATAAATAATTTCGAATTATAGAAAATACATAGCTGCCTGAAATTTTGTGTTTAGCCTCGTCCATAGTAACCTATAAATATACGTACGGTAGGGATAGATCGATGTTAATATATCTCATGAATTTGTTGCGTATACAATGATAATAATAATAATACACAATAATATTAGCAATATACAAACATTTCCTACCTATAGTGCATGGACATTGTTAATGGCTGTTTTATGCTTCCTTTAAGCTCATTACTGTATTTATAATTCCTGTTAAAGGCATTGTGTAATTCGAATGATAAATTCGACTTTTAATAATCTTATAACAAACAACTATTAAATATAAAAATTACATACGGCTAACCAAATGATATCCTATTCACCATTCACAGGCTGTGGCGTTTTGACGGGACGATAAAACGTCTGATTCTTACCGGGGTTATCCCTTATTCCTTTTTCATCATTCTCCTTATCCCGTGGGAAAGTTACTCGCAGCGGGATAACTGCGGCCTTCTTCAACTCGGTTGACTCCTGTTTTTCGTATGGTGACGTCACTTTATCCAGCTATATGGATATAAGGTATGTCCTAGATATTGTATATAACATAATATAAATATATATATGTTTATAATTACATATAAATATATTTCTATATATATATTCTTTATCTTATATAATATTGAAATTCTCTTTTTAATCTTTCTCCGTTTTTTGCTATGTAAAATTTTAATTTTTCCAGTGGCACTCAAGACACAAAGAGCCATTAATAAAAGACGTAATAAAATAAGAGCTACAGAAGGAGGGTGGTTTTTCACAAAGTACTGATAATAAAGGAAAAATCGCAACGTGACATTTGCGCGTCTGCGAAACTCGTGAAGGACGTTTAGTCAAAGCAACAGCCCTTCTTTCGAATTTCGCACCCCTCCAGAACCTCCTCAATTAACCGTATTGTTTTTCATTGATGGACGGGAGTATCTAATTAGTCGTGAAATTTCATATCCTTTCGGACGAATTTATTTCACTGGACCTTTCCCAGGTAGTGTGTATATATGTATAATACATAAAGTATGACATACAACCCTTTGATTTTCCACGTAACCCAATTGAGGGTGGGTATATGGCACCAGCTAATCTTACCATTTCTATTGAAGTTGAAGTTGGATGGTCATTTTTATATTATTAATCTCCGTTCTTTTTTTCCCCCTGAATGAATAATAAGCTTTACAGGTCACAGTTTACACCCTTTGTCTTCATATTTACTCTAATGGCAAATTAATAATACGGGTGTCCACATAGAAATTGATATCGAGAAGGGCTGAACTTATAAATTGTAATAAATGGTGGCCAGAGTGGCTGCTACTCCCTGATTCTGCTGGTAATGATGTACGTATTGGTACCCTCTGCTTTGGCAAGTAAAGGGTGTCCTCAAAAGACGAAGGGAGTCTCAGGACGATGAAAGAGCAAGGGATGAAGAAAGGGCGGAGTAGTACAGGTTTGAAAAGCGAGCTAATGGCGCTACATAGTCGACAGGGTGGTAGACCCCTGACACTTTGTCCACAATACATCCCTCCGGCATGGTTTTCAACCCCTCTTCTCTCATCCCCTAGGGCAGTACCCTGTGAAATCATAAAAATTCCATATAATCCACAGAATTAATGACGTCTGAGAAACCTAGAAAAATACCGGCAACGTCGCGGGACCACGCTTTCCTCATTCAGCCCTGAATTAACTCCAGGCCAGTTATCAAGCTTATCATATCTATAGACTGTATCATTAATATCCTAGTTGTTTATCTGGTTACCATTAACCAGACTACAGATACCACTCTAACAACCCTTATACTAAAATTTCAGGATACCAGCAGAAGTTTCGAGTGTCTCCGGGCGCCTGGATTCTAACCAACCCAGAAGGTCTATACATGTTCTCCAAGAGTCAGGGCTGCCAACTACAACTTCTCCATAGCCCGTAGCCACGGTTTTTGGTTGGTCGAGGTTCCTGCTGTCCATAGAGAGAATGCTATTGCTCCAGGAGGACTCGTACTACCCTGATGCCTCACCATACCCATTCACCCACCCTGGCTACTGCCGTCGACTATTGTCCAGAAGGCGGACGAGTGGGCCAACTATTAGGCAGCTAGTTTAGTGGTTACAGGCCCCCCTGGTCTACTATCTTCTACACTAACTTCCTACCTTCCTATCCACCCACCTTCACTTCCTATACCATTCCCCAACCTATGCCGGAGCTACTTGACATCGACTAGGGTGTCGTTCACATATTTCAGCCACGGCAACACCCCGTCTACTGGACATTCTGACTCCTGCGGGATCTTATATCGAATGCGACGTCTACCCTCTTACGTCATAGATATATATCTTTGCTTTCTAATGAGAAAACCAGCGCGTACTGTATATACATATTCAAGCGCGTATATACCATGGGGCTTTTGCAATTTAAACGTTTCCGCTTCTACTTTATTCTTCGCTACCCGTTCTCGCGAGATAAAAAGATTGGAAAGTATTTGCACCCTGAAGGGAAAATGGAAACAGTTTTCTAGGAATTATGATAAAAAATTGTACCGGCACAGGTAAGGGTAGATCCATTCTCGTATCGTGCTACTGACAAGAACGACAATCCGACCCACTTCCTAGAGCTCCAGGAACCTACCCACTTCCACGGAGTCTGGGTTGCAATCAAGAGAACGAATCCCGACAAGGAGTAGAGGGACGGAGAGGGGTTGAGAGGGAGGGAGGGAGGGAGGGAGTCTGCCAGGAGAACTGAGGATCGTTAAGGGAAGATAATTAATTCTAAGAGCGAGTATTAGTAGTACAGTGTGGAGAGACGGCACCCTTGTCTCTCCGCTGACTCTCCCCCCCTCCGCCACCCCACGAACAGAAAAGATGGATTGCCGTGAGAGAATTTTTGTTCTACCCGATTATACTTCCCGACCCTTATGAATTAGCGTGACGCCTTATTTTTCTGTAACTTTTTTAAAAAATTCTTTATCTCTCACCCCTGTCTACCCCTATTATCAAACCGCCTCTTAATTATCCTATTCTTACAGGATTTTAGGACATGCCGATTTTTCCTTTCGTTACACCCTCAATGTTAATGTCGATCAACCGCCTGTCATAATTGGCTACTAATTACTTCAAATTATTAATACCTAAGTAACCGTACCAATGACTCTCGGTCGTTTGTACTCGTAATAAGTACAGTCCGTTACGATTCACCAGCGTACGAGTATAACTTCCCCACAATTATTGCAGAGACTATACAACAACAGGAAGTATCCCAGCATCCATTCCAATGAGTTCAGTAGCAGCGGAATCCCTATATAGGATTCCAAAGAGCGTCGCTGCCAAAACCGTGGAACTCTGGTCTGGTCTTTATCTTCGTA